TGCTTGAACCATACCTACAGGGTGGTTTGGAAGGAAAGCTAGCCTTATTAAATAAATTGTAGTGTGGGGGAAGGAGAAATTCTCGTTAATGTCTGTCATTATTATCTAATGTCAATTAGCATGTAAATACTGCTAAGTACAGTAGACGAGAGAGAGAGGGGCTGGATGGGTTGTATCTTCAGTATGCTATTTCTGTCTGGAGGTGCTGGGATGTTTATTCCCCTTATCTTCCTTACTTCTCAGATATTTTCCCAGGAAATACTAGTCATTACTTCAATCCATCCTCAGCCTGGCAGGCTTAAGTTTTTCGCTGCTGGATTCAGAGGCTTGTGTGTTTATAACCCTCCCATGTTGAACTGGGATGCAGTGCTTCTTGATTGCCCATGCTGTTATCTCGTCCTGCTTAATGCCTGTGTCTGTTGATAGGTGTGCGAGGTGTTAATCCTCTAGTTTGAACATGTCTGCTGTGGTGCACACCAGGGAGCAGGCTGCTCCAGATCGTTGTTTCAAGGTCATAAAAATCCAGCGCAGAATATTCAGGAGCTTTGGCTGCTCTTGGGGTGCTCATTTTACCTTTGCTTTAGTGTTTCCCTTGTAGATTATTTTAGGTTTAGGTGCTGTCATTCTGCTGCCTACATCAGCCTTGTGCTCTTCGACTGAAGGGCTGCCAAGCACTTTAAAACCTACATGCAATCACTTTCTCTTTCTTTCTCCTCTGCCCCTCACTGAAATGAATTCACCTCTGGAGTGGAAAGGGACGGCTCATTTAAGCACCACATCAGCTGTGCACCCAAGTATGTTCCTTATGTTCAGTGAGCGATAAAGACTGTGGTCAACAGAGGCGAGAGGCTAGGGCAGTGTGTGCAAATGACCACTGTTAAAAAAGGCCTATTCTGAGAGTTCAGTCTGAGTTACTGTCTTAAGAAATCTTGGCTTTTCTCACCCCACTTTTGTGGGCTGAGCACCATGCACTCAGCTACACTGGTACAGCTGCATGTGAGATCACACTAAAGCACAACATGGTCCGGATTAAAAACACCCTTCCCAAATAAACTTTTCCTAACCCAGATAATGTCAGTGAGTTGTTCTGCAGCCTAGCCCACAAACAGATGTCCTGGCACAGTTAAAGGGGTGGCATGCAGGAACTTTTAAAGCCAAAATTGGCATGTTATTCAGTTATGTCCAAAAAGGGCCAGGCATTAGTGTGAGTCAAGCACAACACTAACAAAACTCGACTGCTGCTCTTATGCAAACATCCTTGTTCAGAACTGGTCTGTACATCTTTGTACAGCACTATATTGTACTACGATTACTTGCTATTTGACTTTAATAATAAGAAACTTTGGATACAGGATTAATCATACTGTGTTAACTTAGCACCTTGTGCAATGATTAATATATGTTGTTAGCAAATAACATCCAGCATCTGCTACAGATTCATTGCTAAGGTTGCAACATCAAACATTCAAATGTTAAGAAACAATAGGACAAAACCTGTATCTGCAGCTCTGCTTCTCCCTATTTGTGCATGTTCCATATCAGGCAGTCTTGAATTACATGTTTTCATGCTATTTTTTCTTAGGCTTGGTTGAGATGAGATGTTTTTTTGTTTTTAGGAAAATGAACCCTCCCACCCCAACACACACCTCCTACTTCATAGCATTGCACTGATGCCAGTATGAGCCATCAGTAGGAAAAGGACTTCAGATTTGGCTCACAAACTCCAGCTGCCGAGCTCATGGGGTCACTGCTGTTAGTGGTTAGTTGTCAGGGTCTCAGGAATTGAATATGTCCAGGGTCAGGAATTGACTGCTCTAGTCCTCCTTCTCTCATGCCAGATCATGGTCTGCCTCTCAGGTTTTCATCCCAGGTCCACTCCATGTGTCCAGCAAATCCTTATCTCAGCCACCTGGCATCTGCTCCTTGCTACTGCATTTTCTTGCTAGCCAGTCCCAGTCTCCCCACTCCTTTTTTGAGGTAACTAGCAGACTTGCATCCTGCTCTGAATTTGTGTGGTCACAGCCACTCAGTGCTGCAGTCCCTGGGACAATCCTGCTCTGGGCCACACTAAAGCACCAATGCACAGAGAGTATTTAGTGACTTTAGGTGCCAGAATCAGTATCTGTGACAAGCATTGAAAAACTGAGAATTTTCCTCTCCACCTCCCAAGGATTTTTACCCCAGATAGGTTTGAATGGCTTTTCATGAAAATTGCAAAAAATGTTACAAGGACATAATAAAGACCAGTTCCTCACTTTGAACACTAGAATGATTCAAGGAAAAGGTTGCTACCTATGGACAAATGCTCTTTTTTTCCTAGATTGGATTTCAGAAATGGTTGGAGTACCTTGATTGAAACTTTCCAAAAGCTTTCAGCTTCTATCATATAGCCAACATGGAAACTTCCAATTGAAATGATTGAAGCTTGGCAAAGTTATAAGCAGTTGACATCTGAATCCTAAGGGGAAGTACTGATGAATCTAAAGAACAGGCAAAGCTTCTAGCCTTGGCTATAATATCAGAATAAACATGGAAAATATCCTGTCGAGAGGGTGGGGGAGTGGTCAGTCTGAATTTTTAAATCCTGCATTTGAGCCTTTTAGATAGTACAAGGAAGACCTGGTACAAGGAGGAAAGCATGAATGAAGCCTTTGGTGAAAGTATGCCTGTTTACAAAATATGAGAACTCAAATTGGTCGTATTGTCCAGTCAGAAAGGTGCATTTGATCGCAGGTGTTTTTAAAGGTGTTCTCTCTGTCGGATGGACACAGTTGGCTGCAAAGGACTTCCTTGTAGAGATATTCCTGTAAATGATCCATGGATATGGGTTTTTATCCCAATTCCCAGTTTGCTCTTTTGAAGATGTTTCTATGAATTTAAAGATGGAATAATAATCCAAATATAATTTCTTAAGGATAAAAACTTCCCACACTCGAAACGTGACGTGTTTATAAATCTTAACATTTCAGCTATGGCCGCTTATTTGTTCAATTTTTGGGTTGCTTCCCAGTACCACTTATGAGCCAATAATTATTTGTCAGCCTTTTTTTTTTTTTTAATTGAAGCCACGGGCCATATCATACCATTGATTTCTGAATAGAACTCCCTGCTGGAACCAGCAAGGCTTTCTGGCGCAAAAATGAGTAGTAATGATCCAGTACTTGGAGTATGACTTTTGTAGGGCAAGAGGAAAAAGGGGATAAAAATCTAATATTAAATATTTCATAGTAGCCCTCTTGATTTTTTTCCTCTCTAACTTTCCTCTAACAACCAAACTGTATTCATTTTTGACTGCATGTGCGTTTGAAACAACAAATTTGACAACAGCAACAAAACGCAGTGTTCTTTTCTCTGGGCGTCTTGCCTCGTAACCTGCAACCCCGAGCAAATTTGTACTCCAGCTTGATAATCTATTGAAAACAAAGGTTTGCAACAGATGCTTGAAGCCCCCTAAGTACAGTCTGACAAGCGCAGTAACAGATCTAAATTACTTCCATGTCACTGCTGCATATTTTTGATGCCATTAGAAGGGTGGGAGGGAAGATGACAGCCCACAAAAGGTGCGTAGTGAGCATTTAACGCAGTGCCAAACTCAGAGAATAAACTCAGGGCAGCGTGTTTCAGGGGACGAGTGTTCAAGGATGCTTCTTAGAGGTACGACTGACTCACTGCGTGGCCCCAGACCAGTCTCGCAGCCTCCCAGTGCCTCAGTTTCGTTGTCGGTAGAACAAAGAAATGCTTTCCCCACCCTGGGCAGCGCAGTGAATTGATGCCTGATGGCTGCAGTCTGTGAAGTCTAGTCCCGGTGGTTTCTGTCAGCAGCTGTAGCTGGCTCGGTTTTTGAGCCAGGGTTGCTCGCCAGGGCCCCAGCCTGGTCCTTTCTTCGCGCTTCTTTGCATGAGACACCGAGGCCAAGTTCAACGTTGCCTTTGCTGGCGGTTTTACCAAAGCTGCTGAGCGTGCCAGGGTGACGTTAGTGGGGATGAATCGTCTGTTCCCTGCCTTCATCTCCCGGTGGAAATCCCTTCTCCTCATGGAGGAGGTGGAGAAGATGGAGGGGGCCTCCTGGGGGTAGCGTGTCCCATCGCGAGGGAGGAGGAGAGGGGGGACGAAAGGCAGACGAGCTGGTCTCTCCCGCAAATGGCTGAGGGGATAGTGGGAGTCGCTAAGGAGGGCTAAAGTCTGGGGGGTTGCTGGTGGCAGAGCCTGAGGTGGTAGACAAGAGTTTTAGAGGGATATGGGGAAACTGTGGGGAAATGGGTCTCTTTCCAGGCTCCTCTGGTTTCTTTTCAACCAGCCCTCCCAAATGTGCTCTATTTAGTCTCTCCCTGCTTATTTCCTCTTGCCAGCCTCAGTCCTTGAGATGCCCTTCCAAATGCCCCTGTCAGCCGGAGGTGTTAGGAGAGGCCTGAGGATGCTGGCAAGAGCATGACCGGAGAGGGCAGGCACAGGGCAGGGCTGAGCGGCCTGGCCACACATGATGAAGCAGCTCCAGCCCAGCAGAGCTGGGAGCTCCTCAGGACTGCCGGCCCCAGGGCTTGGGGGAAGCGGGACCATGAGTCTCAGCTCCCCAAGGAGCAGCATCAGGATCACTCTAGAGCTGCAGACCCTGGATCTGGCACAGCACTTTCACTCCCCCTCCTGCTGCTGGCTGGGCACCGTGATGCCTTTGGCTCCCTGTAGCCATAAGGCATCGTGGGTATAAGACCTTCAGTGCCGGTTTCCACTGCTTTTTAGGTCCAAAGCTCTCGCATTGGGACCACAGTCGTGCTACCTGGTGTGCACTGAGGCTGCATGGGAGCAAGGGAAGTTTTCCTTCTCCGCAAGGACCGTTACTCTACTTTGTCCAGGAGATCTGTGTTGTTACTTCCCTGCACATCATCTGGGTGCAGCATCCGTGTGACAGGCAGTGGGGGGCTGAGTAGCCTTGTGGTTGCTAACATGATGTGGAAATGTATCACCTAATTTGGAGGACAGATGTAGGGGTACCCAGCCAGTGAGAGACTGGGCTGTGCTGGGCCTGTGCTGTATCTAGACAGGCCAGCTTGGATGTCTCTCTGCACGGTATCTCTGAAGTTAGGAACAGGGGGGTCCCAGGGCACAGGTTCACAGCAGGCTCCCAAGGGTAGTCTTGGAGCTGGCAAAGCTTTCTCTCAGAGCTGGTTCCAGAGACAGCGCTGGAGTGGGCACGAGAAGGCACTGGTGGCCTGGGAGTGACCCAGAAAGGAACACACAGTGCTGTATTTCCTCAAGTCAGCCTTGGCTACAAGGGCTAGCAGCTTGCTTGCTAAAGCCACATCTTAGGGGTCTCTTAGAGGCCGTAACAGCACCAGTTAAAACAAGACACCTGGGAACAATCACTGACACTACCTTTTGGACAGACTTCACCAAATCTGGGCTGAAACAATCTGTTCCTCATGCTTTTGCTCTGACAGGATTGCAGTGTTTTTACTTCGTTACAGTGATTAAGAACCTCAAGCCCTAGTCTGTTAGTTGCTGTACAGGCATAAAACAAAGGGCAGAGAAAACATGGCAATGTGGTCTGGCCTATAAATTGCCTGAGTCCAGTTCTTGCTCTTTAGTCCACGGTGTGATCTTGAGCATTAATTACAGTCACACCCATCTCTTTCACCTTCTGTCCTTCATCCAACTTACGCATCTAGGCCACAGTTCTGCTTAGAAAGGCAGCCAGTTCCTACTGCATGTTTGGACAGGGCCAAGTGCAGTGAGGCCCCCATCTTAGCTGGTCATTGTCGTTATACAAACACTAACTAGGAAAATAGTCTATAGGAGCAGTCCCAGGTACTGCAGAGGCAGAACCAGAACAGAGTTGGGCCAATCAGCACTGGCCGTTGTATTATTTGGAAAGCTGGAGCTGTGCAGCGTGGGATGGGAGAGCATGGTGGTTTTGTGGTGTGGCAGATGGATACTTGCATCTGATGCTGGCTGGCTGGGTAGGCTTGGGTGCCTGTGTGCACATGTTAGGTATGCAGGGTGGAATTCAGAGGGTAAATATTGATGCAGCATTGTCTGAAAACAGCCCTCTGTTTTGAATCCTGCTCACAAGCACAGACAGCTCCCATGTAAGCTGAGTCTTAATCCCCCCAGCAGCTTTATTTGGCATTTCTATTGTGGGGCTGTCTCCTGAAATGTAAACTTGCTATTAATGACCTTTTTTTTCAAATTAGGTGAAAAACTTGACAACAAATGGAAGATTGGGGCCTTGGTCCCCATGGCAACTGTGTGAGCATTCAGATGGGGACAGCACAGGCTCCTGTATGTGTAGGTCACGTTCATGTGACAGCCCTCGTCCTCGCTGCGGAGGTCGCGCCTGTGAAGGGGCCAGGATTGAGGTCGCAAATTGTTCAAGGTACCTCAGCATCTTTGCACTTTTTAGGAATGCAATAAGAATTGTGTCTGTTTACGCCTGCTCTCTTTCTTTGTGTTTGCATAACTGTCTTCTTGCATCTCAGCCACACTGATGTATGTGGGGTCCAACTTGAAGGCAGTGAATAAGGAAGGAGTCCAATGGCTCTAAAAGAAGGGCCTTCAGGTATCTCAAGAGGGGACCTTGGAAGGTGGGCACTTAAAATAAATGTGAGCACTAGCCTTCGCTACACTGTGCCTCAGTTTCCTTCAACTGTGCAGTGAGTCGTGACCTATTAGGAGGGAGCAAGTACAGCAGAAGCAGTTGTTAGCCAACGGAACAACAGTAGGCTAAAAAGAGAATCAGTAAGCTCTCAATCATTGTTTTTCCGAGCTTGAAGGCTGAGATTACATTGCCAACAGCAAAAAAAGATCCTTCAGAGCAACATTTGTAAAGACAGGGCCTAGCTTAGCTCCGAGCAAGGTCTGTTTGCCTTGTTCTGGGAGTCTATGAACTGTCTGCAGCACATTGGCTATGTGAAAGCAACAGATCATCAGCTGGCAGCGAGCAAAGCTGAGGAGGCATACCTACAGGGGACAGCACTTAAACAACGCGTACAGCTCAGCTTATGTCCAAGTGCCGCCATTCCAGGGATGGATGAGGCTTGTCCTTGAGCAATATGGAAAGTAAATGTCCTCTGGTTGAGTCCCTAAGCATAGCCACAGTGTTTGTGTCCCTGTTAACCCTCAGGCTACATCATTTCATGACTCAAGGAAGGAAGATGCAGTAGTGTAAGCACTACTTATAACCAGGGTGGGGCCAGCCAATATTTTGGTAAATATTGGGTCAATACCATTTTAATCTACTTCACCTTCTCTGTAAATGCTGATTTTGTTAAGGACAGCTGTCTCTTGACTCCTCCCTGGAGTTCAGTTTTGGTCTTGGCACCAAAAATTCAGCAACACTCATCTTTTAATTGGCATCTCTTCTTGCAGTTGTAGGCTGTGCTGTCTAAAACATAGGCAGTCATTTGTACCCTGGTGCTGCCACCGTGGGTTGAGCGGAGCCTCCCAAAGCAGCCTTTTTATGTCAATGGGAAATGCAAAGCGTGCCAAAAGGATGGGTTTGCCAGCACTGCTCTGATGGCGAAAGAGGCAGGAAGATCCTCAAAGAAGTGGATGAAAAATATATTATTCAATCTTAGGACATAGGAAAACAGCATGATTTGAAAAATAGGGACATCTGGTCATCCTACATCCGCCTCAGCCCTTGAATTTCCTTTAATTGACTTCATATGGCATTGAAATTTTTTTTTGCAAAGAGAAAGCAGGATGCTTAAAGATGAGTTCTATTAGAAAGCAAGAGCTGGAAGTCTGAAAATGGAAATTGCCCTCATTTCTGTTAAAAATCCTGGAACACAAATAGATTATGAGTTTTTTTTTTTTTGAGAAATTTTAGTAGAGATTACTTTCCTTTTTTGCTACAACAGCAGCAACCTTACATTTGATTTTTTTCATTTGAGATTTTACATATAATCTTTCTTCTGGATTGAGGTTGGGAAGGTAGTTAGTGGGTTAACATGTGGAAGAGTAACATGGAAGAGAGGATTTTTATGTTAGTGGATTTCTTGTCCTTTAACCTTGTTTGGGGAGAGAGGGAGAAGAGATGAAAGAACAAGAGGAGGAAAGGAGAAATATCTAGCAGGGTTCTGAAATAAGGCTGCCAAGAACAGGCAAGACTTGATAACAAATATAAAAAGTGTGAAGGGCAACGTGGGTTTCAGCTTTCATCCTCTGCCCTGATTGGTGCTACGCCAGAAAATATTTCTTGCCAGCAATGTTATTAGTTCAGTAAATGCTCTGAATATTAACATCTGTCTTTGAGCTTAGCTTTCAAGAACCAGAGAGCACCTGAGTTGTTTTTTGACTAGACTTTTTAGAAAGTTTTTTTTTTAAGAAAAAGCAAATGAGATTTTTTGGCTTAAGGCAGTGAAGTATCAAGATCAGGCATTTCTGTAAGACAGAGCATTGCCACTGGCTCCATATGAAACGAAAACCTGTAGCACAGAAAAGATGTAGTATGGTTCCTCCTCCCCCTGCCTCTGTGAGGCTCAAAGGTTTAGCAGAGCTGCCAAATCAAGGGAAGGGGAGCTTTAATAATTAGGAGATTTTAAAGATGAAAATGTCGGCTTCTGTTTAAACATATGATTGAGTTACTACGTCAGTGGCGTCGCAGAAACCAACTGCATGCACGTGTTCAGCCGATCGCAGATGCAAGGTGCAAAGCGCTAGCTTACACCTCTGTCACTGAGGTGTGAACGAAGGGGTTTTTGCATCCCATTTCCCGCAGGCTAAGTTACCGCTGCTCAGCTGAGATGTGATCACTCATTAAACCAGGAAACTCAGTCCTGCCTCTGAGCTCTTAATTGCTTTCTGGTTTCTACAGCTATAAGGTCACAGTACAATGACGTTTGCAGGCTGCCATGAAAGCAAGAAGCAATTATTGTTATTTTTAATGAAATTTGAGATTTCCACTTAATAGGATTCAAGGCCGAAGGCTTTAGGAAAACACCAAATATTATAAGGCTTGTGATAAAACCATGGGAGCTGGCAGTATAATTGCTGTAACAGATTTAAAGCATCAGTACCCGCTGAATGAGCAGCAGGTGTTTTTTTTACATCCTTTGGCACAGCTGGCTTTGGTGAGCCTCAAAAACTGCATTTAGTTGTGCAGAAGAGTCCAGGAGATACAACTCTGGGATCAGCTGTTGGCTCAGAAAAAAAGGGGTTAGGAGACATGGGGGGAGATGATGAGGGAATAGTCAGTGAGAGTTACAGCAACCACACTTGCTCAGAAAATCCTGGGAGGGATTTCCAAAATCATTCACTACTGGCTTCATTCTGTTCTTTTCCAAGTCTTAGAGACTTCAGTGGGAGGAAAGCTAGGCCAATGCTAAGTGCTTTTGAAAGTTCCTTTTCTAAATCTCAGCTGATACAAAGTCTGCTTGAAATGAATGCACCTCTTTTCCAGTGCATTCAAGGATTCCCCTGTCAGAGCCTTATGTGCTTTATTGTTGAGCACAGCATGATGTGGACAGACCTTCAGGTAACCTGCATGCTTTGTTCTCTCTCCCCACCTTTGGTAGAAATGGCGCTTGGACACCCTGGTCTTCCTGGGCTCCGTGTAGCACTTCCTGTGGGATAGGCTTTCAGGTCCGCCAGCGATCTTGCAGCAACCCCGCTCCCCGGTATGGGGGCAGGGTCTGCGTTGGACAGAGCAGGGAAGAGAGGTAAGAGACGTTCACAACTCACTGTGTTCACTTTTGAGGTTATAACGCTATTAGCTGGAAATGGTGGCTCTCCTCTGATTTCAAATTAAGGCTTTTTGGCCAGTTACACGGAGCAGAAGACATCCCAGAGCCTGAGATGAGTGAGGTTGCTCACGTGCACAGCCTCTCTCTTGCGAGGCTGTGACCATCAGAGACTTCAGAGTTGCCTCCACTCTTTGTCATGATCTGTCAAACCTTCACAAATACTAGTGCATGACTATTGCTATCCCCAGAACAGAGGATTGTCCTCCTGAATGAAAGGAGAAGTCATATCCTTTTAGCAGTCTAACTGTTGATAGTTACATTTTTCTGATCCTGTACCTGAGGAGGCAGTTGGATATGTGCAGCTTTCATTGCCAATTACGCTGTTCCTAAGTCTGTATTAATTGTGCTGATGCATCAGAAGAAGTTCAAGACAGAATACCGCTTGACTCACAGATTCAGGGCTGAGTTTTTGCTGGGTTAGCATCAGAGGAATATCTATTTCTTCCCCCTCTAAACTATGCAAATTTGATGTAAAATCACTGAAAAACAATATTTTTAGAACCTAGAGAGCCATCTGCACTGTTTCGGTTCTTCGAGCCCAGCCCCTCACTAAACATATGCTTCAAGGCATCCCCATTTGGTTTCCAGCTTTGACATTTCATTAAAGGCCACTTCTGCTTGGCAGTAGGCTGTTGCTTGTCCCTTGAGCGGTCAGTTAAGGCAGATCTTTCTCCATTTCTCAGAATACAAAGGGCAATTCATTTTACTTCCTTGATTCAGGACATTTTAATATTTGGCTTGATTCGTGGCCATTCAGAATGGTCCTTTTTTGTTTTAATGACTACATCTGAGTCAATTAGGGTCTTGTGTGATTCAATTTGAGAAGAATATTGATTCAAAAACTGAACAAAATTGAAGTTACCTTTTAGAAAGGGAACATGAAATAACATTAATTTAGGGGCTGCTTTTGGATGCATATAGCTGTTTTGGCTCCAGTCGCAAACACTAATTTCATAAGGTCCAAACAGCAGTAAGGGCCAGACTGTGGGAAGAGAAGATTGTCAAGCACTTAGCACCTGTCATTAGGGACAGCTCATTGATGAGCTGAGCTCCCATTAGTTACCTAAATAAGAGCCAGATTTTCAAAACACTTATCATTTAGTATCTCTGATTGTGATACGTAGGCTTCAGCTTATGAGCCTTTTTATAAATTTAGTGTGTAAAAGTTTTGAGATCAGAGCACTTTCAAAAGCCTGATCTTGACCGTTTACTCCAACCTTGTTAGTGAGCTCAGCCTTACTGTCTGGTTAACCACTCCGGGTTCTGTGTAAAGGGTACAGTTCTCTGCCTTGAACGGGAATAATTCTAATCTGACCAGCTTCTACTCGCTTTCTGCACATGCATGAATTGCACCCAAATGCAGTATGCAGTTTAGATTTGCACCCGTTGTCCTTTTGTCCTTGGGATATGCTGAAATGGACTTTTTCTGAGCAATGTGCTTTTCTCTTTCAGATTCTGTAATGAGAATAGTCCATGCCCGTTGCCAATTTTTTGGTCTTCGTGGGGTCCTTGGAATAAATGTAGTGTGAATTGTGGCGGAGGCATACATTCAAGGCAGAGGTCCTGTGAAAATGGAAATACATGTCCAGGCTGTGCTGTGGTATGTATTATTTATTGACATCATTGCATATAGGACACCTATTGACATTTAGCTTCTAGGGACTTGGTATTTAACTCCTCCCTCCATCTTGATTTTATTTCTCGAGCTAGAAGAAAATGCTAGCCTCAGCTCTTGCTGGAGAGGATACTGAAATGAACTGCAAAGTAAAGAGGTGGCAGATTCCAGAACCCAGTGAAGTTAGTGTGATTGTATGTTTGTGTGTCCTCTGGCATGCCAGGCTTTTGTAGGTTTAGGTATCAGGTTGTTTACCCGAGAACACTCTACCTTTTTTTCTTCTGTCCTACTCTGAGGGATGATCCCATTGAGTCAAGGAAGTCATACAGGCATCAGAAATGAGTCTCACTCTCATGCTTGAGTAAACAGCAGGTCAGACATGCAGTTAACCCACAGTTGCGGCAATGGCTACCCCTTTTATCTTTCTTTTTTTTCCTCTCGCATTCTGGCAGCTTTTTCATACAGCTGTTTTAATTATTTTTATGGAGAGTTTTCTTCCAGTGTAAGCAGATTTGATCTGGAACCTCCCATCTGTTCACAAGCTGTTTGGCATTTACTCTAGAATCATAAAGTCCTGAAGCATTACATTTCCTTCTCTCTGCCAGAAAAGACTACTTTATTTATTTATTTTTAAACAAGAACTTGATGTTTTTCACTGGAATTCCTCTCAGTAGTGCAGCAATTTGTAAAAACCCCAAATGACCCCATCCCCATCCGGCTATAATATTGGTTGGACTCAGTGGATGCTCAGATCTAGACCAAGGATGGCAAATGGTTTGTAACCTCATTAGGGAGTTAAAAAAGCCAACCAAACAAAAATAGCTATAAAAAGAAATTTTTCTAAAATCACCTTAAAAATAAAACAGTAAACTTTTCAAGGAATAAACCTTACTGGGACCTTGTTCTTGTAAGGGTCCTGTAGGCTGACCTGGCAATATCATCCTAGGGCCATAGCAGAAGATAACTTGTTCATTGTTATTATTATATATTATTTGAATTCTTATCCTGCCCACAACATACCAGGCTTTTGAGACATACCCCACAGGACTTTGAGTCAGCAAAGAAACACAAATCCCAGAGATATAAGAATCATAAGCACAGTTCACCCTTGAGGTCCACCTGAGGCTGTGTACCACCACTGCCTTCACATTGCCTGGGTTTTGTGCTGGGCCCAGCTCTGACTTGTATCTGTGATGTCAGATAATGTGGAGAAAGGCAGTTTTAGATCCAGAGTGTACCCTTTTGTCTTCTGGGATGTAAATGAATCCCTACCAGTTATGCTGTTGCTGTTTGATAAGTAAGGAGAGAATTTTTTTTTTCTCCTTGGCAGGAATATAAGACCTGCAATCCTGAGAGTTGCCCAGAGGTGCGCAGGAACACACCTTGGACCCCTTGGATGCCTGTCAACATCACCCAGAATGGTGCCCGCCAGGAGCAGCGCTTCCGCTACACGTGTCGTGCCCAGCTGTCCGATCCTCACGAGCTGCAGTTTGGGAGGAAGAAGACCGAGAGTCGATTCTGCCCCAATGACGGCTCGGCAGTGTGTGATACTGACTGTACGTCTTGACAGCTCTGGGCTGGGAGGGTTATGTAGGGCCAAGCCTAGGTGTGGCGGTAGATGGAGGATCCTCTCGGGACAGCAGAAACCTGACTGTGTCTACATAAGTGTTGGCATGTACAGCTAGTGCCGCTACAGGATGAGTGGGATGCATGTAGAGAGCCCTGTGACTTAGAGATCAACACAGTCATGGGCTCTGTGCTTTTGACAGTGTATAGATTTGTTCTTGTTACTGCCAGACTGCTCCAGCAAGGACAGGCAAGTAATGAGGACGTAGAAAAGAGAAGACCCATTCTGCAGGACAGTGTGTCTATGCTCTTCTTTCTCTCTGGAGGTCCCCTTGTGCACTGCCTCTGCGGTTATTCCCTTTGCTACTGCTGTGATGCAAGGCAGTGTCCTCAGGGCACAGCCTGGATTGCCACAGTTTGTTGCCCAGAGAGGTCATTTATCAAGGTGATTACTTGACTCAGCTTGTGTATGCAGATTTCATTTCACTTCTACCTCTAGCCCAGTGGAACAAAACTCTTGCTAAGAACTTTCAACAGAAACCCTTCCCCAAGGCACACGAATCCTGAGTTTATTTATGAGCTGAAGTCCTTTTATAAAAGCCAATAACTGACCTATTTATAATCATACGGTGTCTCGTTTGTTTTCCTTGAAGCTCTTGTTGATGACCTCCTCAAGACTGGTAAGACCTCTGCACGGATTATCAATGGGGGCTGGTCCTTTTGGGGGGCCTGGTCCTCCTGTTCCAGGGACTGTGAGTTGGGCTTTAGGATCAGGAAGAGAACTTGCACAAACCCTGAACCTAAAAATGGTGGCTTGCCCTGCGTGGGGTCAGCGATGGAGTACCAAGACTGCAACCCACATCCTTGCCCAGGTAACCATTATCATCCTCCTGCATGAAATTCAGAGGTGTTTTTCCCCATTTTAATAGTAGAGACATCAAAAATCAACATTTCCAAGCTACTTTTTTTTGTTTTGTTTTTTTTTCATTAATTGTTTAAAAGCTATTGAAATGACCCATGTCTGTGACCCACACACACTGTGGTGCTGTGACTTATGTTTCATCTGGGCTCTGAAGGTAACACAGCCACATCCTCTAAAGGAAGTAGTATTGTGGCTTGTCTAGCAATTTTTTGGTTCAAGCAGGTTTGATCCTCCATCCAGTGGAGGGCATCATGGTGCACCTTGTTGTGAGAAGACAGGCTTAATTAATGTGGCTTAATACTGTGTAGAGATGCTTGATGTGGAGATTCTTCTTGTGAACACTTGTTTCTTCCCCCTCTCCTGCTTACGTATTGTTCTTGCGATGGGCATCTACTCTTGACATCAGTTACCATTTCCTGCACAGCCAGCAGGGAGTATTCTTGCCTGGTTTCCTGGTTTTCGAGTTTGTCCTCATGTTTATGTTGCGCTTCTCGTCCAGAATAGTAATAATAGACCATTGACGACTGTATTCTCACTTCTTATCCTTCTCCTTACTCTGTAGTAACTATCTAACCTAAATTTAAGTGATCTTAGACAAATCATCTTGCCTCTTTGCAGTTTCAGCAATTATCTACCTCTGGCAATACAGTTTGTGGCCTACACTTGAAAGTGCTGTAATATTATAGTATTATTATGATATTAAAACTCAATACAAAGATAAAATGCCAATGCAGATAGGAGAATGATGATCAGAATGTGTAGAGCATAGCTAGAGTGGCAAATATTGCACTCTGTGGCCTATAAAAAGAAAATAACTCTGGCACTATAAAGGCAGCTATTAGTACTATTTTGGAAGATCTCAGTGGCTTTTCACTAATGTCTGTACCCTTCTTCTGTGCTGTTTTCTGCCCTTGGACACTATGATGTTTTACAGTCTGTTCTGAGTGCATGATTCCTATTTCTCTGTGTCTTCCTCCTTCCCTGCCTCACTCTATGTGTATACACAAATCCTGGGTTTATCTTGCACTAAGTCATCAGGTTGTTAAAGATATCTCCTGAAATATCGTAGTGTGGAGCTGCAAATCAGATAGTCTAGCAGGCAGACAAGAGGGGTTCAAACTAGGGCTCTTAATTGCCTCCCTAGATTTATTATTAACTTGTTACGTGACAGTACTCAGATAAAGCCTCTGAGCTTCTGTTTGCTGAGGGTCAGGACTAGAAGGCTTGGGGGCCCCCCAAAGAAAGATGCCATATAAGTTCCATTTAGGTTGTACTGCATTTTGTTTCCAAGTAAATCTGCTGCTGCTGGAGGTGAAGTGTCAGGAAACAATGTAATAACAGTAATGCTGTTTTATAAAATATGTGTAAGAACAAAGTTAACTACCCTAAAGAATAGTTTCTATGAGGGCACTTCATGATGCACAGTCTTTTTGTGCAAATATACTTCATTCTGCATCCATAGAGTGCAGCGCATTTAAACCCTCTTGAAACAGTTTTTGTTGTCAGGCCCAGATGTCCTGGAGAACAAGAAAGTGCTAGCTAGTCTGGGCAGGGTGGATCTAGAAGGTGAGAGGCTGGGGCTGTCTCCAGCTTTGCCACAGTGAAAGGAGTAACCAGTGACATGTGCTTCCCTCTCCTTGCTTTTCAATATCCTTCAGTGAAAGGCTCATGGTCTTGCTGGACTCCTTGGTCTCAGTGCTCAGCAACCTGTGGAGGAGGACACTACCAGCGCACGCGGACCTGCACCAATCCAGCCCCATCTAGTGGAGAGGATATCTGCATTGGTCTGCACACTGAGGAGGCCCTCTGCAACACACACTCGTGTGAAGGTAGTCAGTTCTCATCCCTGCTCCAGCTGGCTTGGGTGGCGGTGGGAGCAAACCACATCTGCAAACTGTTGAAAAATAAACCAGAAACACCATGAGTTAGAAGCTTTTCTGCCCATTGAGTAAATGTGTATTGAATCACAGAAAGAGTAGGCACTTAGATGCATCACCTTTCTCTTTACTTGTTCACTAGAGCATGCCCTGGCATTCCGGTGCCGGCCAGGCAAAATCTTGTTAGCGGCTGATCCATTTAAAATAACTGAAAAAGCAGGAGTTTGGTTCTTGAAGGTGGAAGCTTGCAAGACAAAGAAAAGGATTTGTGAAATACCAATCTGTACGGTTGCTGAAGGGACAATCCTTCATTCTTGTGTCGTACACAGAATGGCAGATGAGCATGCGCTACTACTCAAAGGATAGACGTTGCACCTGTGTTGTTTTTGAACGACCTTTGTGTTTCTCTGATCCAGTGCAGGCTGACTGCTGTTCTTAGGGACCTTAACATAACCACTGTAATTTGCTCTGGCTGCTTGGGGTGACCGCAGGAGGCTGCTGCAGATGATGGGGTTTGTGGTGCAACATAGCCTCATCCAACAACTTGTGTGTCTTCAGCCAGAGAGCTAATATAGGAGCTTTTAAGGGAACCCGGTGTTATATGCAAAGCTCCCCAAGGGGTTGGTTCAGTCAGTATTAAGGCAGCTTAACCTGACAAGTAGGATAGGATGCTTTCACTGTTACTTATTGACAGAATTAAATCCACTGAAGCCCCCTGGATTGTATGTGCTACAGAGGTCCAGATCAGGATCTAGACACCCTCCAGCGTTGGGGAAGTTTGAATTTTACAAGGAGTCTTTTCCCTTTTTGGTGATGTTCTCTGTGTGTTATCTTGATCTTGGATTTAAGGTGGCTGGTCAGAGTGGTCAGAGTGGAGCTTGTGTAATGAAGAGGGGATCCAGTATCGCAGTCGTTACTGCGAGGTACACAGTCCAGACTCTTCTCAGTGCATCGGAAACAGCACACAGTATCAAGATTGCCTGTATAATGAAATTCCAGGTATGTGCAGTGTCATCAAGGAGGGAGAGGGCGAGCTGATTCAGGAAAGCGGCTCATGCCCAGACTGTCAAGCTAGGCTGAGATTTTCTCTGCTCTAGTTGGGGTTTGGATGCCTCTAAAAAAGCAAGCAGACAAACTAACAAATGTGCTATATACTCACTTGTTTCAGGCACAGGATAACTGACATTCCTTTGGGGACAGCTCAGCTCTCTTATAAAACAGAATTACCTAGATCTATAATAAGTAACTAGTATTGCTTGAACTGAAGCTTTTAACCTTGCATAGTTGTCTCAGGCGGGGTTATGTAAATAAACTCTGTTCTCTGCGTGGATGTGGGCAACAGGAGGCCCTTAACTTCAGCTATCAAAGGAAAGCATCCCATAGGAGTGAAGAAGCAAGGTGAGGCAGTATGTAAAGTGGGGAGGGCAATCAGAGGTCTAACAGAGAAACATTGCTGAGGGACAGATGTTCATAAACATCTTCCAGTCTAGGTTTTGTGAAAATTGAATCTCCCAGGCAAATACTTGACATGTGTCTAGACTGAATAACCACCTTCCAAATGTTCTTTTCTGGACTACAATGCCCTGGTTTAAAAATCCGACATCTCCAGACAATAATACTATTGTTTTCTGTGATTTTCTCAGCTATCTTTCTCTAAATAGAAGAAGCTAAACAGTGATCAGGTAATAGTGCTGGAATTGTCAGGTCTTTTGAGAGTTTTGTTGCATGTGGTTCCCCACGCTGAGCTTATCATTCAATTTAGAGAGACTCTCAGCTTGCTGCAAAACACATGAGCAGCTTCTTGTGTCTAGAGCACCAGGGTTTTAATTACTTAAAAAAGCGAAGTGATGGCAAAATGACAGCTTTCTCCAATCTTCTTTTCTTTGTTTAGTGATCCTGCCAGCCTCCAGCATTGATGAGAGCACAAACTGTGGAGGTAGGATACCACTAACTATATGTCTTATTTTTATCCTAACCTAGCTTTTTTTCTCCCTGTGCAGTATCAGCCGAACCATTAATCTATACAGCTCGCGTCCCACTGATAACCTTAATTCCACTGGAGTCTTGCTGTCTGAGTCAGACTGGAGGAATGTATCGTACTGTCCAGTTATCAGTTCCAAGATTTTTATTTATTTCAGGATTTGGGTTGGGCAGTGAGGGTCATTAATTATCAGGGAGCATATCGCCTGTCTCTCTCTCTCTACCTACAGTATAAATGGTTAAGGAGAAAGGAAAGGATATTCCTCATTTCACCAGTGTAAACCTACAGCTGTTTGGAGACAGGTGTTTTTAAATAACCGGTAACACTGCAGTGAATGCAGGTCTATTAGACAGTTCCTTTGCTATCGAAGGACTAGATTAGAGTTGATGGTTGTCTTCCAAGCACTCCTTTTCACTGAAGTCTTCACCTCTCAGGGAAGATGTCTCCTTTATGCATGTAACTTGGAAGATGAAGTCATTAGTGTCACTTCTTCACTGTCCTAGGAGCCCCTATGATAAAAATGCGAATGGAAGAAAATGGCAAGTTCCTTTTTAAAATTTTTAAAGCGCTAGTTTCACACTAATGACCATGTCAATCCCTACTAGTATCACACCCCTGCTTTCCTGAAACCTACATAGTCTGCAAGCTGCCAAAATCTGTTCCCCCTATGGAGATCGTGGCAAGAAAGGCATATCATCTACGGAATGGAAATGTGGCCTTTTGGTTTGTGACTGCAGGGCAATCAATGGAATTAAGATTTCAGCACCTACAGTGTAACAGTTGGCTTTCTGCATCACTCCTCCCTCCCCCCCCCCCCCCCCCCCCACCCCAAGAGAGCAAAAAGTGTCTCTTCAGGAGTTCCAGGACTCCTTACTACAGTTGCATTCTTCTTTTATGTCCTATGTTCACATTTCCTTCTTCTTTTTTCTGCCACCATTGCATTTGCTGTTCCAATCTACATTTTACCGTAGCTAATATTATTTATTACATAGCATTCCGCAATATTTGGCAAGGAGACCAATCAAGAAAAATTCTGCTGATGCATCTCAGAAAGTCTATATTATAAAAGCGATGAACCCAAAAGGTTCAGCCCTGGGGACTGTCATGCTGCAGATAAAATATTTTGTCTTACCACTAAGGTACGGCTAACTCACCTGCAAAATCAGATGGGTTTTTCAAGGGTGACAGTGAAATGTGAGAGAGCTTTATGTTTTAGAAAGGGTTTCCTACTGTAGTGAATAGACAAATGTAACAGTGAAATGAAACATTCACTGCCGTATAAGCAAAGCTGGGCCAGAGGAGAATGTGACAATGTCATGTGGCTTCACGGAACACTGGCTGCGTAGTCTGTGTTTTAGCTCTCACGAGTCAGGTAAACCAGGCAGAGGTTTTTAGAAAGGAAATGTCTTTTTGGAAAAGTCTCATAATATTTAATAGGAAATTATCATCTTTCTGCTGTTTTTTTGGACCATCATCTAAAACACAATAGAAAGTTGTAATCTTGCAATAGAATTTTATAGTGTGGTTTAAAAAATAAATGTGCCTTGTCAATCTAATAAATTCTATATGCTCCTTACTGTAATTATGATTGAAGTGCATTACTTTTTTGTAGAACTCTATTGGTTTTGTTCTTATTAAACTCAGGAGGATATTTTTAAACTAAAGATTAGAGGAGATCAGAAGACTAATGGGCAGAATTCTCTATTTGAAAAGCATATCAGTTAAAATGTAAGATGGCACCAAAAAAAATGCATGCCGTGATCAGACTAAGAATGAACCTCATTTACAGCCGCTCTCTGAGTAGTCCCTTCCGTTTCTCCACACACAGTCAAGTCAACGCAGCAGTCTGTCCAAATGAATTGGCTTTTGAAGTATTATGGGAACTTTCCCGCTGCAGTCTCCACTGAAGCGATCTGACTGTCCCCTGGGACAACTGCCCTGGGGGACAGGGCTTCCTCCAGGGCGCCAGGGCCTCTGCCATTCCTACCTGAAAGATTATATGGCTGAGCAAAATCAGTAGCGCTTGAGGCCATCATCACTGCTTCTCTTCCTGTGGACCCCTTAGCAAACGACAGCAGGGTCACAAACTTATGCCACCCAAGACTGCTTCTGGTTATTTCTTCAACTTGGTGGCTGTGAAGGTCACAGTTGTTTCTTCTGTTGATGGTGGAGGTCTGTTGGCTGTTGGGTCTGCTGTGCGGTTTGGGACTTTCTCAGGTGAGGGAGGAATGAGGAGTATTATTTGACTTTCTCCTCTCCTCCCAGGCAGAGCTGCGAATCAGGTACCTCCCAGTGTGTGGGATGCACATCTCTTTCCAGGGGTCAGTGCTGTGCGTGGAGGGTGCGGCTAAAACCACACGCCGAGAGATCTCTATAGGAGGCTTTTATAGTCCAAGAGCTTTTCTTTTTGAAATCTTCACACCGTAGCTACCCCACCAGCACCCGCCTCCTGCTCCTATCTTTGTAGTTTGTGGAGAAATACAACCAAAGAAGGGTTTTTTTCAAGCAGTTTCCCCCTTTACTTGTTCCTCCTCATCTTTCCCAGTTCCCTGAGGACCCCTGTTTTGGTATTAGCGCTACAAATACACCTCAGAAGCTAGTGCAGAGGTGCCCAAGGCAAAATACACTGCCATGAAAAAGCGAGAGCGCGAAGCACGCTTGGGTTACACCCAGGAGGAATGTGTATCTCCCCTTCCTCCTCCCCACAGTCCCAAAGGCTTTTTGGGCAGTCGGCAAAAGGGGTTTTCCCTTCCTTTCCTCTCCTTTAAAGAAACACTGTTTTTATCCCCTTATTTCTATGGCACGCACATGCTTTGGAATCCATTAATGTGTATTGTTTGTACGGCTCATTTCTTTAGCTGTCAGCTTAACATAATGTTTAGTTTCAATATCAATAGAGGGGACAGAGGAGAGATAGGGAGGGAGCTTTGAGAAAACAATGCATGAACCTGTTAAACGCACAAGGCAGAACTGCCGTGGGGAGACCGATTTGCAAGGAGATTATGTCAGTTTATGTTAGAACGTAAGACTGATTTCAACAGCTTATTAATGTTGATCCCGAGATGTCATAGCTCTGATTTGTACCTGTGGTCTTGTCGGGAGAGGAAAAGAGGCTGTTCTTTAAAAATAGCATCACTTGTCGTTTGCCTTGCAGGTTTTAGTCTCATCCATCTGATTGCCACCGGGATCTCCTGTTTCTTTGGCTCTAGCCTCTTAACGTTTGTGATTTACGTGTACTGTCAGCGCTGCCAGAGGCAGTCCCAGGAGTCAACTGTTATCCACCCAACCACTCCCAACCACCTCCATTACAAAGGCAATACCACCCCCAAGAACGAGAAGTACACCCCCATGGAGTTCAAGGTAGGGTGCTCGATAAGAAATACCACAAACAGCTTGATACTACCTAAACTCTTCCACATTTATGTCACAGTTTGAACAGAGTAGGTTTGTGTTTCTGTGCCCAGCTGTTAGCATTACATGTGGGACTGAAGTAGGACTTGGGTAATACTGAAAGGTGCACGTAGCAGTACTGTCACAAAGGGTTAAAAAGTCCCATTATTGCAATGGGATTTTCTTCCATTTCGCAGCCCTGATAAATGCCAGTATGGCCAACACGTACCAGCATACTCCAGCCCATTATGACCATTATATGTACACAAGTTGTCCTCTAAGAAATTAGTAAGAGCTCAGCTCAGTGCGTTGTTAGTGCTTGGTAAGAGGAAATGGAGGGGAGGAAGAATAAAAATGGAAATTTTATTGAACAAATCACTGGGAAAATGCTGATGGGTAGGATGAGATTCTGGAAATACTTTGGAGACTGCAAAATTGGAGAAAATAGGGAAGGAAAGAGGGTTCTGCCCCCTCTGCCAGTACCGAACAGAACTTATCCCCCAGGCAGCCGCACAGGATTCGGTAGTGGAAGCAAAATCGGGAGATGAGGCCTTAGGAAGAGATGAAGGTCAAAGTAGCACGCTCTGTTGGCCCGTCCGCTTGCTAAAGAGAACATCGGCCATTATCCAGAGTAGGTATGACTAAGGGCAAGAGACAGTATGCTGAAAGAGTAGCGCACTGCTGTGTTTGGACATCAGTCTGCAGGTGAAGTGCGAGATCAGAGGGCTGAGCAGTGGGATGGGTGGAGGGGCTTCCCGTCACCCTGGGAGGAACGGCCTGCCTAAGGCCACTTGAGCAGCGCGCAGCGTTGTCTGGGACATGAATACAAAACAGAAGGAAACCCAGCAGCTGCTTGCTCCTTCTTATAGCTGTGTGCTGTTGACATTGTGATTGTGCGTTTGTGCTGGTCTGGCTGGACTTCTGACTGAGATCCTACAGTAAGGTCAACTGTGAGGCCGTTGCCATAGACTAAACGCCATGGGTGTTGGCAACAGTTTCTGCATAGAGAGTTTATAGTGCTGGGCTCAGGAAGTCTCCATATATATGGCAGTGATTGCAATATGAGTATGCATCAGAACTAAGAGCTTACATCAAGTTTTTTGAAAAGAATCAACATTTTTCTGATATTTTAAAGGAAAGCAGTTAGAGTTGGAAAAAAAGCAGACCGATGCGGCAATAAGTCTGTGCTGAATTCCTTGTCCTGGGCATTGCAGCCCCTCAGAGGCTCCAGCTGTCTATAAATGCAAAAATACATGGTGTCATAATACATTCTCAAAAATACATTTCCTGACAGCACAAGGCTACAGTTGCATACAGTTTAATAGGGATGCAGCATCATAATGTGAGTCAGCATGAATTTGTGGAAAGTAAATCATGTCAAGCAAATTGGATTCCTTTTCTAAATTAAATAAACATTGATCTAGATAGAAGGGAAGCAGCAGACATATTGGGATCTTCAGAAGCTTTTAACAAAGTTTCACAGGATGTATTATTCTGCACATTCTGCATACATGGGTTAGGTAATAATTTATTAAGACACATAAGGATAGGGGACCTGATCCTGGAAGCTTTAAGCTATGAGAGTAATCCTTTCGATTATGTGAACAGTTGTCAATAGGAAGATGAGGTGAGAAAGACTTGCAGAAACAAAGGTGTGCAAGACTGTCCTCATGTTTCTCACTTAGCAAGCAGTGAAGAAAAGATACAAATTATTTTTGTTGGCAAAAGCACCCTGTATTTTTTCATGATTTATACTGTGCTTTCATATATTATCAGATGATCTAAACTTGAAAGAATGGTTAACATTTAGAAGGATGAAGCTGTTTCCAGAATAATCTTGATCAATTGGGTAAATGGATTATGAAATGCAGTATGTCTTTACAAAGCAGTGCAGTGGAGTAGAAGTAATAACAAAGCCAAGCAAAGTTTTAAAATGGCAGCAGATTAGTTAATGTAGTATCAGGAGGGAGTTGACCTCTTTGATAGATCCATTTTTGAATACTTGATGTAGTGTGTAGCGACAGTAAGCAGCTGTGAGAGACTTCTTTTGAGAGACATAAAGAGCCTAGGCATTAGATCAAGTTTTGAAAAGTCTAGTTTGTTTGAAGGAAGGCATTAGCTAACTGGGACTGTGCGAGGTAGGCTGGAGGCAGAAGGGACTTGGATACAAGGAGAGATAGACCAGATGGGACTTATTTATAGAACATTAGGAAGTGAAACAGTTCAAGTTCATAAATCTGCAATCATTGGACAGAGCAAAACTAAATGTTTAGGAGCAAGGGACTACTTTGTTAAGAAGAACTTGTAGTGATACTCTCTCACAGAGAGTGGTGAATGAGGCAAACAGACTTACAGAAAGGGTAAATCTGTTTATCAAGTGAAGTCCCTTTTCTCTATCCCTGTTGAATATTTTCTTACATTCCTCTTCTTTATTGTCTCTCCTTTCATAAACTCTTTCCTGAAAATATCTCATTTAATAATACAATTTTGCCAGTCCTCAATGTTCCCTTGAAGAACATAGTGCAGTAAGAGGGAGGTTGTCTGTGCTCTGTGCTGTGTAATTACTTACAAAACTTGTTATTAGCTAGCTTTGTATTTAGGAATAACTGGCAGATTTTTCTAAGGGTCAGGAGGGAATTTTTCATGCCTTCAAGGAGCATATGTGGTTTTATTGTGGTGCTACACAATTAACATTCGAATGATGGAGGAGCTGAAATTCACCTTCTGGAAAATGAGAGTTAGACTGAGTTTGGATATGGGCCCATCTGAATTTCAAACATGTGCATATGAAAGAAAGTACAAACACCTGAAATTCCAGATTTTAAAACCAAGTAAGTTACTACTCAGAAGATGCCAAGAAAACTCCCCCAGATATTTTTTCGGTAATGAAAGCAAAAGAATCAGTGTGCATGTGTGTGAGTGAAAGAGTTAACAAACCCAAGATTAAGCAAATACATGGTGCGTAGACTACTTTTCAGTAGCAGAAAATGATAATGCATAGCAACATGATGGTAGCAGAAGGCTGAGCATATGCGCAAGTCTATTATTTTCCGTTCTTTGATAATACTAAGCCTTCTGCAACCATCTTTATTTTATTTTCATCTTGAAACATCTCTGCTCTCCAACCAGCAGGTGAACATAGTAGAAAGTTTGGCAATGTTATATTCAAATGTTCAGCACCGAATGCAACTTAGAAATCAAGGTGAATTTTATATGAAGGCAGATTTTAATGAAGGAAGTACTAGCTGAGATTAGCCTTGTTGAACGTTCAAGCACAGCAATGCATTAACGCAGATCAAATGTAAATATCATACATAATGGTGACCTATTGATCATTAAGCTGATGCTAACTTGCCTAGGCCGTGTTTTGCAGAAAAGTGCTTTATTTTTCCTAGCTTCTTTTCCCTTCCTGTTTTGCTTTCTCAGAGATGCTATGAGGTTTATTATTAGCTGTTTTAGCCATGATGTCTTAAAAGATTTCATGCATATGCATTTAGCAGCAGCACGTTGATTTTGATTTGTTATTCACAGATTGTAGGGGAGAGACCTTTTGGGTCACCTAATAAGCAGTTCATGTTTCATTAATTGGTTAAAGTTCATACGGCACTCTGACAATATTGAAGACTGTGCAGAACAAGAGCATAATGAAATAAAAATTATCTACCCTTCACATTTTGGCATGATGGGTTACAGAGCCACCTACAACCTCCCCAGTACTGCCACATTGATTAGTTAATAACTGGCTATCAAAGCAGAGAGGAGAGCCTCTTTTTTAGCCTGTCGCTTCAGCTACTCAGTGACTTACTCATGTGAGTTACTTATTAACATCATACTGGATGGAAAGCCAGATGATCCACAGTAAAAGCAGGAGGATATAGGGTCAGGGCTGAGCCCCTGTGAGTGAGGAGCTCTAGGAACAGCCACACGTGGAGAAAGGATTTGGACTAAACTTCTTCCTGTTGCTAAATCCTCTGCTAATAAAGGGAGCCAACTTTTGACTCGACACGGGATGTGGACAGGCAAAGGCATCTGCACGTTGGTCCAAATCCAAGGTCCAATGGCCTTTGGATCAGGCCAGATGTGATCAGTGAGAAATACAAGTTTGCAGGATTCGTCATGATGATGATTCTGCAGATTTGCTTCTCGATTGTGTTGGACAGACCTTCCTCTGTCCTTCCTTCCTTCCACACTGCTTTAGTCATGAGTCATGCAGTCACTCTTTTTGTACTGCTGCCTGAAATAAGCTAGGGAAGCACTGGAGCGCTGCCTCTGCTCTAGGCATTATTGCTGCTAAGGGCCGTGGAAACTAAGGGCCAAACACTGAAGTTGAGCTCAAGCAAAATAGTCATTTATGTCAAGGGGCAAATTTATGTGGGAGAAGATGAGATGAAAACTGATTGAGACAGCAAGCTTTGGCAAAGAAAGACGGAAACTAAATGTTTGACATGTCACCTGGTGCCTCAGGTTTCTAGGAGGGCGCCCAAACAATACCAGTTAGCTTGGATGGCACTGTGGGTCCTATACCTGCCCAAAATTCTGCAACAAATATAAACGCAGCCACTAGAAAGTGGGGATAATGTTCACGTGATCACTTGAGAGTCTATATAAATAAAAAGTTACAAAGAATTGTTTTCAGTAAAGTGAGAACAATGCTGTTGAAAATCAAATAACAGTGCAGAGCAGCCACCTCCTGCGAAGGACTGCAGACACTGTGATCCACACTTCATTAGGAATCCTGAATAATTCATGGAGACAAAATATCAGTGTGGAGGGCTATGAAACAGAAACCAATTCTGCATTTGGAAGAAGAATCCTTCTGAATAAAACAACAGCCTGGGTCTTTGGTATGGCTTCCAACATTGTACTGAGGAATAAAGCTCAGGGTATAGGGAAGTGGTTCCCTGTATGGTTTTTAATTGTCTTTCCCTTGACTATGGTCGTTTTCACTGCTACTGAAAATCACACCTTTT